ATTGTATGCAGTATATCTTTCTGTGTCTGCATTTGTCATATTGTATTATAATTATCTCTTTAAAAATCGGTTTCCCTAGTAGATTTTGGAATATTTATGGTAAAAGACTATGAAAGAAAGAATAAAACAAAGGAAGGAAGGAAGGAAGGAAGGAAAGATAGAAGAAGAGAACAAGAATGCAACTCCTGAGACATTGGACTAGTTTTTCTAGGAGAAATGAACTGATTCCTTGGGGATATCTTTCTTTTATAACCCCATTCCAAATGATTGAATTGTGGCTTAAGAGAGTCTGATGTGAATAGAAGGGATCTAAAGCAGTTAAATGAAATAATAAGTAGGCATGTTTACTCTTCCACTCTAGAAGAAAGAGAAGATAAACTTTGTCAGTATGGAAAGGTTTAAATTTAACCACCTAAAATAGTGTCAAATTATTCCCTGTTAGATGAAAAGTAAAAGATAGTTGAATTTTAGGGACTATTCCTTAAAATTATTAATAAGTTAGGGACCAATGAAGGTATCAGCTAGTTCTCTGATTTTGCAATTCTAACAAACTATCCCTTCTGCTTTTCCTTCAAGGAGAACTTGCGACTCCATTGTCGCTTCATAGCGTTCTTGACATCCTGGTTCCTCAGAGTATAGATGAGTGGGTTTAACATGGGAGCGATGGTGGTGTAGAACACAGACACCACCTTATCCAGTGGGAAAGTAGTGGATGGACGGAGATAAATAAAGACACAAGGCACAAAGAAGAAAGTTACTACCATCAGATGAGATCCACAGGTAGAGAGAGCTTTGCGCCGGCTTTCTGCAGACCGTTTTTGAAGACTAAACAGAATGACTGTGTAGGAAGCCAGAATAATAAGGAAACACCCCAGAGAGATGAGTCCACTATTGGCAACCACTAGCATATTTACCAGGGCTGTATCAGCACAGGCAAGTTTTAGGACTGGGTGGACATCACAAAAGTAGTGGTCTATGACCTGAGCATTGCAGAAGGGCAGCTGAAAGGTCAGGAGGGTTTGAACAAAGGAATGACCCAGGGCCCCCAACCAGGACAGTGATGCCAGCACAGCACAAGCATTGGCACTCATGATGGTAGTGTAACGGAGGGGTTGGCAGATAGCTGCATAACGATCAAAAGCCATGACAGTCAAAACAAAAATCTCAGCACAACCAAAAAAGTGGAAGGTAAACATCTGAGTTATACAGCCCCAGTAAGAAATAGTCTTTTTCTCAGACACAAAGTCTGCAATCATCTTGGGTGCTGTGGCTGAGGAATAGGCAATGTCCACAAAAGACAGGTTACTGAGAAAGAAATACATGGGTGTGTGGAGCTGGGGATCAAAAAAGACTGTAAGCAAAATGAGCAAATTTCCCACCATAATCATGATGTAGAAGAGGAGAAATAAGGCAAAGAACATCAATTGCATTCCAGGATCCTGGGAAAGTCCCAGAAATATAAACTCGGTGACATTGTTGGCCACTTCCATGGGGCCCCAGGCAGGACTGGTGGAGGGGCTCTGGTTCTCTGCAAAAATAAACACATGTTATAAACCACTGTGAGCATGGAAAGCCTAACAGGAACAGTTGGATGAAAATAAATAAGTGATGTTAAATATCATAGAAGAAATTCCTCATATTTCTTGAACAGAGTTTATGATGTTTTTCTCATCATTAATTTTTTCCACATTATTGACTCACATTTCAATTTCTGTTAAAATTAGCCTTATAGTTCCTTTCTTCCAAAAAGAATCTAGCGTATCCGAGATTTTTTTTTAATTAGATTTAATGTTTTTTCCTAATCAGTGGTCTTTCTCTCTCTCCCCCTCTCCCCAACCTCTCTCATCAGCAATTTGCTTTGCATCCTGTGTGTAGTTT